ATTTCATTTTACATGTTTTAATTTTTATTCTTCGCAATTTTTTTTAATTAATTGGAATGTACATAATTAATTACAAAACGTAGATTAATCAAAATTTAGAAGTAATTTTAAATAAGCTAATTTCAATCAAAATAATGCAATACAATTTCGCATATGAAGTTTGATACTTTTCTTAAAGTTTCTGAAATAAATGTATAAATTTTTATTCTGATTATGCAGATTTTTTGCGGGAAAACCGCTTGCTCGACGGTATAATATAAAATGTAGCGGGGTTTCCCAATAAATGTAGCGAAAAGGTGAAATCCTGGCGAAAAATATTGCGACGGTAAATAAAGCCTGGGATGATTGATCGACCATAGGACGAAGGTGGAAAAGAAAGGTAAGAAAAGAAAAAAAAAATATTGTAGGAGATCGTGCACATGGGAGGAATGATCGTCGATATTTAAGGGAAAAACTTTAAGGTGCCCTGTTTTAGTGTTCGGCCTGGGGGGATTCGCGTGTAAAAAGGGTGCAAAAGTAAACAGCAAAAGCACACGAACCGAAAGAAAAAAATATAGAAAACAAGGATGTCACAGAAGGAATCTAAAACGAACGCTTTGACATAAGTAGAGACAAATCATGATGGATCGCGCGGATTTGTATGTTGTGACAACCCATTTGAGGCATCAAAGAGTTAGGCCGGATCGATCATTGCGCGTGTTCGTACGTCATCTTCGGTGGGTTTTTTCTTCTGGATTTGCCAGATTCGAAACGAAATCGCATTTATTATCAGAAATATAAAAGAAAAAGAAAGTTTCAGATATTCTGATGCTCTTACAGTTAGCATTTTCAACTTACAAATAACCCGCATAGTACGGCTTCTAACAGTACGGACTCATTACGGTACGGTTTAACAGTGTTAAGCCAAACTAAATTTTTATCGAGCAAAATAAAATTAACATAAAAATTACTATTTTGTATATAATATTTTTTGCTTCACAGCGTCAAATATTTTTTTGTTTTTATACGGTTATAAAATCCTCAATCAGTCCGGTTTCAAACAGTGCTGGATATTGTTGGAACTCGCACTATGCGAGGTTGTTGTACCAAACTAAAGAATAACAAATAATATATATATAATTGAATTAATACCAATTAATACTAAGTTTTAGATATTTTGATGCTCCTTCAGTTAACATTTTCAACTTACAAATACCTCGCATATTGTGGCTTCTATCAGTGCGGATTCACTAAGGTACAGTTTGATAGTGTCAAGACAAACTAAATTTTAATTGAGCAAAATAAAATTATTATAAAAAATTACTTTTTTATAGATAATTTTTTTTTTGCTTCATAGCATAACAAATTATATATATATAATTGAATTAATACTAATTAATAAATAGTTTTAGATATTCTGATGCTCTTACAGTTAACATTTTCAACGTAAAAATACCTCGGATAGTGCAGCTTCTATCAGTGCGGATTGACTAAGGTACAGTTTGACAGAAACTAAATTTTAATTGAGCACAATAAAATTAACATAAAAAATTACTTTTTTTATACATATTTTTTTGATTCATAGCGTCTAGTCTTTTTCTGTTTTTAAGCACTTCTAAAATCCTCAATTAGTCCGGTTTCAAACAGTGCGGGATATTGGTGGAACCCGCACTATGCGAAGTTGTTGTACCAAATTAAGAATAACAATTTATATATACATAATTGAATGAATACCAAAATTAATATAAATTACTATATTTTATTTATAATTCAGGCAATTCATTTATAATTAAAATGTATTTTTTTATCTTCAAATAAGAGGAAACATTAATAAATGCAAATAATTGTTTTATTGCATAAATAATAATGTAAACTATATGTTATATAATACGGAATAAATTAATTATAATTATACTGTAATTATATTGTAATTAGATTGAAATTAATCGACGAAACCTGTGAGTGCCACTTTTTGACGTAATCGGATTTCGTACGTGATATTTACTTTGAGCCGGGTTGCGAGGGCACGAGGATTTGGTTGTCGAATGAATCTGCGAATTAATAAACTTCACATCCGATGTCAAATCTGCCGATCTGATTGATTTTTAAAACCGAATTACAGCGCCGCAACTAATTATCCTCGCATCCATCAAATTCACATATCAATTTCAATTCCCATTAATTTCATTTCGAATAAAAAAATTTCATTTACCAATTTGCATACGATTTCCGTAACAATAATGTTATATATATATTTATATTTACTTCTTCCCGCCAACAATTTTACTTAATGTCCTTTTTGTAAGTAAATAAAATTGATAATATAAAAAATACTCTAAACAACGTTTTAATTAAAAAATCTTATAAGTTGTGCTAAATCCGGAATTTCTTTATTTTTTTCTAAAACTTTAGATATGACCATATCACATGTATTTATTTTTAGTTACGAAACTCTAATTGCAAGCTAAATTTCAAAGGAAATTATATGTAAGTTTTTGCATTGTCTAACTCAGGGTTTCCCAAACTTTTCCTGTAACGGAACACTTCTTAAATCCTGAAATTTTGTTAATTTAATAAAAATGAGAAAAACATTCATTATTTACTTAGTTTTGAAATTAAAATCGCATAAATTGTTCGGAAGTATATATTTTGTAAGTAGTTTTAAAATTTCGAAATTATGACAAATTATTAATAATAATAATAATTTATTGGCCAAACATTAATACATAAGAAAAAAAAAATAAATTATTTTATCCCAAATTTTTTCTGTACAAATTTTACTTGAGCTATCTTTTGATTTTTCTCTTACAATATAAAATTTATAAATAAATCAGTAAGAAATATTAGTTTGTGAAAACAACTATATTTATATACAATGTGAATATAAGCTTGTCAAAGTATTCATTCTTGCTTTATACAAACGATTTTATTAACACCAATTGATGGCATATTTTTATATGCAATTAACATGAAAATTACATATAAAAATATGCCTTCAATTGGTGTTAATATTGATTTTAATACATACATTTATTCATTCATTTTTATTCAAATTTATCTATCGGAAAATTTACAAAAACAGTTAAACTATGAAAATGTCCAAGTAAAAATGCTTAAATTTTCAACAAACATTTTTTTAATATTCATCCAAATCAGAGTTTATATAAAAAGATTGACTTAGATTTGTTTAGTTTATGAATGCTATTAAAATGTTTGTTCATAAAAACATATACATTTGTCAATAAAATAAAATAAAATAAGACAAAATATTTATTCTTAATTTACTCCAGTAAACTTCAATATAATTTAAGTTAGAATAGAATTAAAATAATAAATTTTTAAATCATTTAGCTATGAGATCATAATTTTCTATTGTAATTGTATTTAAAGCGTTTTCTTTGTGAATAGAATTACTAAATTTACGTCCATTTGATTGGGTAAAATATACGTTCATTTGTTTTGACTTGGTCCCTTTTACAAATAAAATGTAAGTTTTTTTTTGCAAATTTTTTTAAACAAACTAAGAATCCTTGGGATTTTTGTGTTCATTAGTAATTAATTGAAGAAACACAGAAGATTATTTTCTTTAATGCATATCTATTTGTTTCTTTTCCACAAAACTGATCATTTAGTACATATTTGAGTGTACATAGAGGATTAAAAATTTACTTTATTCTTCTCAAAACCAAAAAATCTCATATTTTTGACGAATTTGATTCGATACTAATACTAATTTACGGACATTTTTTTTTAATATTACTTCAGAATCTCCTCTTGAACTGCTGCCCGCATTATCGCTCAAAATATGTTGAAATTCGATTATAAACTTCGGATGTGTGGAACATGTTTTTCGTTATTAAATGATATTTATTTCATATATTTTATAAGTAGGTACATCTGAAATATGAAAACAAATTCAAATTTGGATCTTATATTAATATATGCATTTATTTATTAAATATTCATATATAAGTTGTTTTTTAAAATGTTATAAGGCACTTATATCATATGGAGCACGATTACCTGATGAATTAATTATCGTTTACCAATATTTTTAAAATAGTTCAAACTCTTAAATATCTCGATGAATGAAAAATGTACCATTATCAAAAATAACGGCTCATAAGAAATTACATTAAACTAACCTGAATTTGGAGAAAAAAAAAGTCACAAATCCGTTTGACGTTACGCGCGTCCGGTACAATTGAATGAATTTCTTCTGAATATCGAATAATGGTCAAGGATTTATGTTTGATTCGATGTTTGAGGAGGGAAACCCACAAGAATTCGGCGGTCAAACTTGAGGGATTTCACGATGTCCCCGCATTGTGCGAAGAGAGGTCCGACGGTAGGCTGTCATATTTTTATTGATGCATCGTCCATTATACACATCAACGTAACTATAGCAAAAACCTCCGCTCCCGCCACAAAAGCTTTCTATTCTCGAAACTTTTGATGCAACTACCCTCCAAAGGAAACGTCGTTGCCAGTCAGCCACTCGAGAGGAATCAGCGGAACGACTAATTAGAATTTAAATTAAAAGCGGTTGCAGTTTAAGAGGTTTCAATGGATTAGATGCGGTGCTCAGCTTACGGAGATGACATCGTTTAGATGCAATAATAAATGGGGTGTATCTGAAGGGCAGGTAAATATGAAACTGTATATGTATGTATTTGATCCTAATAAAAGTGGAGTAAATGCGACCGCAAATGGCATTAAATGGACAGCCGTGCAAAAAGTTTTTATACCAACACGGGGTTTGTGTAAAACTCGGATTGGGTAGGGCATGAAATCGGCCCGGACTCATTCAACTTGAGGGCCAGAGATCCCCACACGCAGCCACACACACTCTTACAACAAAAGGGGGTAGTTTTCATTGTGGCAACAGTAGCTACCCCCTCTCGCTGTAGGGTCCGGCCCCTTTTTTTGCCATCGCCAATATCCCACCCTATATATGTAGGCATGACTTTAAACTTGCTTAGTTACCAATTGACTTCTGGAGTAGCAGTAGTGCCTTAGACATGTTCCCTAACACATCGAACGTTGAGAAGGCCGGAAAGATCTTCCGGCCTTGGGATAAACCCGCCGATGAAGATCAAAACTCTTCGAGCAGCTTCAACTCTCCCATCAAGGTGGAATTACCGACTCCTCCGCCGCAACCAGTGGAGACTTATCCGCCGTACCCGGAGTACTTTCCGAATTTGGCGCAAAGTTTGGGACTTCCCAGCACCGACCCAATGTTTCTCGAGCATCTGTCGCACGGTTACGCTCTCGAAGAATACGCTAGAGTCATGAGTCAAGAACACCAAACGAAGTTGATGAACGCGAGGAAGCAGCGTCCGAAGAAGTACAAGTGCCCTCACTGCGACGTGGGCTTCTCCAACAACGGACAACTCAAGGGACACATCCGCATCCACACCGGTGAAAGACCATTCAAATGTGACGAAAAGGATTGCGGGAAAACGTTCACCAGAAACGAGGAGTTAACCAGACACAAGAGGATACATAGCGGATTAAGACCATTCCCGTGTCCACAGTGCGGAAAGCGCTTCGGCCGTAAAGACCACCTCAAGAAGCACACCAGGACCCACATGCAACCAAGAGGAATGTACGCAGTGCCGGTAATGCTGCCACTCGACACCTGGACGGCGGCTTCGGCGGCTTACCCTTACCTTCCGATGTACAGCTTCTGAAGCAGCTTTAACACCTAGGATACAAACCGCAATATTTATTTTTTGTAAATAAGATTTTATATTATGTATATACCTGTAAATACTAAGCAAAGACTGAAAATATTCTACTCGAGACCAAAACATATTATATTTATATAAATTATACTACTTTTTTAAAATATTACACAAATACTTATATTATTTAAAGTCCTTTTAAAGTGAAACTGTAATCGAGCACTCACGTTAATTACAATGAATTGAATTACGTGATTTATGATACGTCAAATGCTGGATGGTTGTGGACCTCCTGCGGTGAAGTGCACGGAAATGTTTTGACAATGTTTGGGGTAAAACGGAAGTTTGAGTTCAATTATTGTCAACACCCTCGTGTCCAGTTTCGATACAATTGCAGCCGGACCATTGATGCCGATGGTCCAGGTCGTTATCGATACAATGTAATCCCGGTGATTTGTGATTACTATTATTGCGTCACTTTTACCGAAATGTTAACTAACGGAGACGACGGTTCCATTAAGCCATTATATGACGAGATACAGTTTTGCTGAAAGAGGCAGGAAACGAGGCGGAAACGCAAAAGTTCAATGCGACGTTGTTCACAAATGCCAAAGAAATTGTATCTCACTTTTTGCAACAAGAAATAAAGATATTTGAAAATACCCATTTCTAGTATTATTTTTCTATTGTTCATCAAATATTCAATATTAAAGTCAATATTTTAATTGCATTGAAAGTGTAATAAACTTAAGTCTAATATAGCTTTATTAACCAGACAAAAATAAGCATACAATTCAAAGTGCCTAAATTTTTAAATATATAAACTATAAAAAGAAAATTATATAATTAACAAAATTAATTTAGCCAAAAAGCTATTAAACAAACAGCAACTATCATGATCATTATAATTCTCTAATATATGATTAATTGATGACTATTAGTTTTATTAGTATTGATACTAATAATTTATTCTAAACTTATAATAAATAACAACAAAAGTATAATTTAGAAATAATTGATTAAAAAAGACATCGCATTGACTCTAAATTATAATAAGTACTATTAAAGTTTTTTGAAATTAAATTGCAGAAATTTCCATGAAAGCTAATTTACTATTAATTTATTTTCGATTAATTTATTTCGGTTTATATAAATTTAAACAAAAGATATTGAAAAGTATTTCTATTAAGATATATTTTGTACTAAATTATTTCAAAGTGGAATAATAGCAAAAAAATATGTATCAACCTTTAATAAAAGTAAAATGTTTAAGTAGGATGATTGACTTGAAATAAAATCAGTATGTGTTGAGAAAATCCATCAATCATTCAATATATTAAGTAAAAAAATCATTCATATTAATATACGATATTTATTTCTTTGTTGTCTGTGATTATTTCAAAAATCATTATTAATATTCTTAAATTTATGATTAAATACTAATGAACTACCACCCTTTGCCAGAATTTTCACAAAATTAAAATGAAAGATTGAATCTCAAGTTGCACATATTTGTAATTGTATTTACTCTACTACTTATACTGATGTTTTTAAGAAATTTTAAATTATTCAAATGAAATAATTCGTATTAATAATATAAAGTTTTATAAATTATATTTACGTGCTAATAAATATTGATACTATTTTGAATTCTTCTGCGGGTTTTAGTTCTACCAATATCAATGCCTGTTTGAAACCGCACTAATCGAAGAACTAAAAACATACAAAAAATAAACTTGTCTGTGTTAAGTAAATTTAAAAAAATGTTCATTTATGTATATAATAAAATATATATTGTTGTAAAATTTTCACAATATAATCGGGACCATTCGAAGCCGTACTATACGAATTATTACAGTATTATAATTGGAGAATATTCATGTTAGTGTATATTAATAAATTGCAATGACGTAATAATTATTATCAAGATAAAGTGCGTAATATTTGATTATTTATATGATGTATATATGATCTTTACAGCTGTTTCTGTTCTATCTTGGAAATTGCAAAAGATTTAGTATAAAGTACGCCATATGTTCGAGCAATTTTTTTTTAATGGCAGCCAGCATTTCATCCAACTTGGATTATGTCGGAAGATTGGCAATTAGTACAGTTAATAGAAGTTATGAAAACCATGAAAAGGGATATAAATTCTTCTTACTTTTAAAATGGGAACGAAAGATTGCGGTCAATATCCCTTTGTATGCATGTAAGTGTACCTTAGTGTACCTTAGTGCTGCTTCTATCAGTATGGATTCATTACAATCCGGTTTGAAAATTTCATAGATATTAAATTTTAATTTTGCAAAATATAAATAAGTTCGAACAAAATAATTTTATTGTACATAAGTATGAATACCTATACCACGTTTAACACGGTATTTTCTTTACACGTTATCGTCTTTATACGGTTAAAAAA